GTAGACATGTGGGGGCGTGTTAGAACGAGCCGTTTTAGGAGGGCGTGGACGAGTCTTAATTTTTATAAAGAATATCTCTTTGGGTTTGAGACTTTAGTCTTTGCAACTTTAGGGATCTTATCTATTCACGAACAGCTTGTAACACTCCAAAGAGAAAGGAAAACCTGAAATCGCATCATATGACCCTTTTAAAAATTATTATGAAGACACTCAGACAGTGTTTAATATACTCAATCATATGTATTTAAGGTGTAAGGAAAGATGTTTTTACTTTATGGTTACGACACAACATATTTAGAAATTCAGTAAAATTGTAAAGTTTTCAAGATTTTTCCTTTTCTTTATCATTGACACGCTTATTTTTTGTCTTAAACATGCGTGACCCTTAAACAAACATACGTTTCACAACCTTGCCATTTTTGAATATGCAGAAATGCAAATGATTCGAGAGCTCCAGCAAAAGGGAAGATTTTCAGTGGATAATAACTCAAATTTCATTCTGTTCCTCACACAAACCTATCATATAAATTCAGAAGAATTTTAAGACGAACATATTTTTCTTGGGAACATTCCCATTTTCCTAAAACCAATGAAGCCATGGTTGAGTTGCGAAACATCTTCAGTTATTGGAGAAGGTCCAGCTGTTGAAAGCTGTCAGAATGTACAGTTCTACAGGCCATATGTTCCTCGATGACACAAACAGACAGAGGAAATGGAAATCCAGAGATTTACTGGTTATTGCAGCGGAGGAGTGTGAAATGTAGTGGGACAGGAAACGAGGGGCCATGAATGCACCTAGAGAAGCCTGTGAATGTATGGTTTAGGAGAGAGTACGTAGTAGGAGGACAGAGAAGTACTTACCCATGAGATATACAGCAGTCAACTGGACCAAAAGCCTGGGAATACCAGAGGTGACCTCCTACTTAATTAAAGATATGACTCTGTTTATTCTTATTTTTGATGTCTATAGACCCCCAAAGCACGTTCCCACTAAAAAAAGCAGATGTTTAGTGTAAGAGCAGTAAAGGTAATTGTGCATTGCTTCTTAATGTACAAGCTTAACCCTTCCTTTACAGTTTCATTACCATAATGAAGAAAAATCAGTTACACTTTACAATAACGTCCCATCAGCTAATGCAACTAGAATGAGTTATATATTTGTTACAGTATTTATTATTCTTTGTTAAAATTAGTTAATAATTATACAACTGTTCATTGTTAGTTAATGTTAGCTGTGGTCCATTAAATAATGTTAACAGATGCAACTTTTGATTTTAATAATGTATTAATAAAATGTTGAAATTAACTAAGATTACTAAACACTTTAGCAGTATTTTTCATTGTTAGTGTGGGTAACTAATGCAGTTAACAAATTTTAACAAATGAAACCTTTGTAAAGGTAAAGCATTAAAAAAAAAAAACGATATACGTAAGATCTTTTTAATATCTCAGTCGTTTCTCCTAGTCAGCAATTAGATTAAATAGAGACAAATAGAGACTTTCACTTCATTTAGAGACTTTAAAGGATTTGCTTAAAACTTATATTTAGTAAAACTGTTTTTTTAGAATAATAATTAATACACTAACATATATTCAAGGCAGGGTCAATGACAAATAATGATAGAGAAACAGAAAAAAAAAATCCTTTAAAAAAATTAGAATTGTCATTATTATCACCCTCATGTCATTCCCAAATGTAAAACAAAAGAATATATTTAAAAATATATATTTTCTATATATTTTGTTGTTCTTATACCAATGAATGAAAGTGAATGGGGTCCAGTTTTAAGCGTTTATAATAAGCCATTATATTAAAGGCTTGAAAGACCATATAAAGATTCCAAAACGGGGTTTCCGTGGTGTTGCCATAGAAGAAGATTTTTGGTTTCCCAAATAACTTTTCTGTGAACAATTCTTAAAAGAACCAATTTTTTGTGTGTGAAGAACATTTAAAAAAAAAAAATCTAAAGAAGCTCTTTCTACTATAAAGAACCTTTAGTGGAATGGGAAGTTTCCATTGATGTTAAAGGTTATTCATGAAATCACAAATGCCAATAAAGAACCTAAGGAACACAGTAAAGAACAGTTTGGCAGTTAACAAATGGAATTGCATTAATAAATGTGGAGAAATACAACTCTTTGTCTTGGCTAATGTCTTTTTCTCTCTCTCAGGCCTGGAGAACGTCACAATCCAGTTGAACCTTGAGGCAGAGTTCCACTTCACCCACCTCATCATGACCTTTAGAGTAAGTGCTGAGGGGACAGTCAACTGGTGAAGTGTGTTTTGGGGGGAAGGTGTCGCCACGATTTGCGGTCGTTAGGAGAGAATGTGGGAAGGGAAGAGGGGTTGATGTGGATTTTGCTGGCAGGAGGGGAAGTGTTGCTCAGTGTGTGGGAGCCGTGGGAGGTCTGGGATAAACCCAGCTGTGTAGCCGACTGAGACGACTGGAATGCTTCAGCTGAAGATTACAAATTGTGATGTCATGAAACTAGTAACGACATCAGGGCTAAATACTATTAATAAAATAAAGACTATAAAAATATTTTGTTAGTTGAACTTGAACGGAATGAATGTTAACTTTAATAAAATGAAATGTAAAAAAACAACAACATATAATTATTTTAATTCAGCTAGTTGCCAAGGCATCATTTCTCATTTTCATTTGGTTTAAATTGAAGTAGTAATTAGTATTAAGTAGTAAACTCTAATTAAAAAAACTAAAACTGATCAATAAAATGAATGAAAACTATATAGACATAAAAAAAATTATAACTATTTCAAGAACACACAATAAAATTACTAAAACTTTAACTAAAATTAGTGAAAACAGAAAATGTAAAAAAAAAAATCACAATATTAACAAAAACAGTAACTTTGACACTAAACAAACACATAATATAATGCTACCATATCAGTCTGTATGTTTTTCTGCATAAGAAATTGTAAGCAAATTTCAAAATAAATATCAGCTTTTACACTTAATTATAATGTTGAGATGCCTAAATTCACTTGCAGCATTTAAATAGATTTATTTTACTTTTTAGTGTTTTATTTTTAATTACACACACAAAAAAAAGTATTTTAATGTCATCCATTTATCTGTCATTGGCTATAACATGAAAATAATTATAGGATTATTTTATAGGCCAGAATTTTTATATTGATGCATTTTTAAAAACCTATTATATCCTGAATGTCACATTTCATCATGATTTAGTGGCATTTTTAATGTGCGCGTTAAAACACTTTAATTTTCATTCTACTAGTAATTAAAAAATGGGTAACACTTTATATTAAGGTAGCGTAGTTACATACATTGCATGCAATTACTTTAGTAATAACATGGCATAATTTCAAGCAGCTAACCCTAACCTTAACTCTATAGTACATACATGTAGTTAATTAATATTACTGAGTACCTACACTCTTAAAAATAAAGGTGCTTCACGATGCCATAGAAGAACCTTTTTGTCTAAATGGTTCCATAAAGAACCTTTAACATCTGAAAAACCTTTCTGTTTCACAAAAGGTTCTTTGTGGCGAAATAAGGTTCTTCAGATTACAAAAAGGTAAGAAAGAGATGGTTCTTTAAAGAACCTTTGACTGAATGGTTCTTTGTGGAACCAAAAATGGTTCTTCTATGGCATCGCGTGAAGAACCTTTTGAAGCACCTTTATTTTTAAGAGTGTATTTGTGTAATTACACTGTAATGTCACCTTAAAATAAAGTGAAACCAAAAACAAGTATAGATAATATGTAATATTGGAATATCCATATTGGAAGTATCGATCCCAAATTGACAGTGTGCTCTTATGCTCCCTATCTAGACGTTCAGACCTGCTGCCATGGTGATCGAACGTTCTGCAGACTTCGGGAAGACTTGGCAAGTGTATCGTTACTTCGCCTATGACTGTGAGGCCTCCTTCCCCATCGTCTCTCAAGGACCCATGACCAAAGTGGATGATGTTATCTGCGATTCTCGCTACTCCGACATTGAACCCTCAACAGAGGGTGAGGTGAGCTTTGGAAATGTACCGCACTTCTGGTGAATGCTTGCTTAAATACTGGACTTTCCATTGACTCTTGTTGCTTTTGGTTTTGAAGGTCATCTTTAGGGTTTTGGATCCAGCCTTCAGGATTGATGATCCTTACAGCCCCAGAATCCAAAGTAAGGACACAAACGAAAACATTTTGACATACATACTTGTCATTAAGGGTGTGTTCACACTTGTCATGTTTGGTTCGATTAAAACGAACTCTGGTGCGATTGCTCTGTTAGTGCGGTTCGTTTGAGTAAGTGTGAACGCTGCCATCCGAACCCATCTTTTTAGCGGTCTCGGTCCGCTTCCAAACGAACTCAGGTGCGGTTCGAATGAAATATGAACGCAACACGGACCAAACACTTCTAAACGAACCAAAAACAGGAAGTAATGACAAGATGCGATGCTATGCGACATGATTTGACGACGCGGAATGAGCGGCGTATCCAAAACAAAATGAGCAGAGGGCAAACGTGGAGCAACGAGGAGGTAAAGTGCCTTTTATGAGCTCATCGTGAGTTCGCAGGTGGTGAAAATAAAATCATAAGTACATGCAGCAATTAACGCACTTAGTCCAGCAGATGGCATTAGGTGTGTTCGACTAGATTTGTTCAATTGGAGAATGGGTACTTTGATGTCATACAGTTTGGTCTGTGCAGCGCCGCTTTAAGTCAAACACTGCTTTTGTTTGGGGTTTTCGGTGAGTTCCGTCGCGAAATATACGTCATTCAACCCGACCGATCACGTTTTGAACGTATCACTATGCCTTTAGGTTCGGCATCTTTCGGTTCGCTGTCAAAAATGCCAGTGTGAATGCTTAATGGACCAGGAGCAAATGTATCGTATTCTTTTTTGGTCCGGACCAAACGAACCAAGAGAACCGAACTACAAGTGTGAACACACCCTAAGTGGCCTAATAGTCCAACCAAATTGCTGTATTGCTAACTTCTTGCTTCCTATCATTTATAGACATGTTAAAGATCACTAATCTGAGGGTGAAGTTCACTAAGCTGCACACTCTTGGGGACAATCTTCTGGACTCACGTATAGAGATCAAGGAGAAGTACTACTACTCAGTCTACGACATGGTGGTCAGAGGAAACTGTTTTTGCTATGGTCACGCATCTGAATGCGCCCCCATCGATGGAGCTGGAGAGGTCGTGGATGGCATGGTGAGTTTTATGCCATGCAAAAGCCATGTGCTATTGTAATTTAAGTTATTAATAATAATTATTCTTTTTTTTTTTTTTACTTTTTTATTATTTAATGTTTATATTTTATTATTTTTACATTATTTTATATTTTTAATTTTTTGCACAATTATATTATTTATTGTTATATTCTAATTTTACTAATTGTTTATATGACTATTTTCAGTGTATTACTCCAAGCTCCATTAAACACTTTATACACTTTCTCCAAAATTTTTCCCTCCAATCACCACAAACTGACTTAGCAATCACATATGAGATGAAATTATGAAAATTTAATGCAGTATTTTACCAGAGTGAATTGTAGATAAATAAAGCAATTTTAATACAAAGTAGTTTTTGATTTATGCCACGTTTAAAGGCAGCAGACCTTTTTGTGACTTTTTAAACCTCTGCTTTGAAGAAAACATCTCACACACATTTGTCATGGGAAGAAATCGTTTGAAGTCCCATCACAGTCTGCTGCTAATTCAGTTTGGATCTGTTTCACATTAGTATGAAAGTATGCGGACCGCGCTGTGGTTTCATTATTGAATAGTTTTACAGTCCAAATAATCATGTGGTAGGGAAAATGCATGCGGAGTCTCATGTTTACAAACCTTTTTTGGTTTTGTTTCATTTATGTCTGAAGTTGTAGTATGTGTTTCTGCAGTTTTATATCAGTGATTTTTAGAGCCATAGAGGAAATACACCAAAGGAACGAGGTTCCTGTTTAGTCTGCCGTCTCCTCTGTTTACAGTCTGTCTGCTGTGAGATGCGTCTCAGTCTGTTGCAGCTCTTACAAAAGTAATGAACAGATATTACACCCAGATGTCAATCTCACAACATTTTTATGTGCAAGAATTTCATTCAAAGGCACTGAAGTGACTTTAGATCGTCTCCAGGCACAGAGCAGTTCTGTGAAAGCTCACAGTAGGGGTGTGCATATCACGATTTTTAAGGATTTTTGATCGTGGACAATTAAAATGTATCCACGTTCTGCTTTTGAAGAAATATCGTAGTATTGGGCTACAGCTTAATTATGCATAATTAATTGTTATTATAATAGTAAGTACATGTAACATGTGTAACAAGGACACCTTAAAATAAAGTGTTACTGATACATTAAACTTTTTGTAACAGCACAAACATGTTTTGTAACTGTTGTAATGCTTTAAAACAACATAGTCAAAAATTCTTTGTTGTACAGTTGTTACTGCATTATAGTTATTAAATAACGTTGTAGTTCTTTGTACAATTTTTTCTGCGTTATAGTTTTCAAATTTGTAATTCTTTGCCATACAGATATTACTGCATCATAGTTTTTGAACAGATTTTGACATTCTTTGTCATACAGTTGTTACTGTGTTATAGTTTTTAATCTTCTTAATTATTTTTTGTACAATAATTACTATGCAATTGTTACTGCATTATAGTTTTTAAACGTTGTAATTCTTTGTTGTGTAATTGTTACTGCGTTATAGTTTTTTAAACGTCATTATTTGTTGTACAATTGTTACTGCGTTATAGTTTTTAAACATCGTAGTTCTTTGTTGTGTAATTGTTACTGCGTTATAATTTTTAAACGTCATTATTTGTTGTGTAATTGTTACTGCGTTATAGTTTTTAAACATCATTATTTGTTGTGTAATTGTTACTGCGTTATAGTTTTTAAACATCGTAGTTCTTTGTTGTGTAATTGTTACTGCGTTATAGTTTTTAAACGTCATTATTTGTTGTGTAATTGTTACTGCGTTATAGTTTTTATACGTCGTAGTTCTTTGTTGTGTAATGGTTACTGCTTTATAGTTTTTTAAACATCATTATTTGTTGTACAATTGTTACTGCGTTATAGATTTTAAACAACTTTGTCATAATTCTTTGTTGTAGATTTCCTAGATAACATTTCTTTGGTTGTTTCACAGGGTGTAACTGCAATCATCACTCTGATTCCTGTCATTTCGACATGGCCGTGTATAAGGCGTCGGGTAACGTGAGCGGCGGTGTGTGCGATGACTGCAAGCACAACACCATGGGTCACACGTGTGAACAGTGCAAGCCGTTCTTCTACCAACATCCAGAGAAAGACATCCGCGATCCCAGCATCTGCGAACGTACGTGTCCCCTCTCATTTCCTCTCCTGTCATTTCCTCTGAGCTTTTTCCCCCCTTCAGACGACTGCTGCTCCTCTACCTGTCTGGTCTAGTTTGTGACGTGAGTCTGGTTCAGCTGTTGCTTTGTTCATCTGTGCTCGTGCAGATTTGGGAGCAGAAACACCTGGGCTTTGAAGTAGTCCGTTACCACGGGGCAAAGCGCCGCCCTTCCTCAAACCACATGTCTAAGGTTTCACATTCCTCTTTTGTTGTGGTGACTGAGGTTTTTCAGTTTGAACTCTTTGACCACAAAGCAGAAATGCGGCCTGTGAACATCAAACTTTGATAACAGCTTACAATACAATCCAATTCATTAATAGTAATCCAACAATTAACTTGGAGTAATAATAAAAATGCCTTTATAACATGTATTAATTTGATTAATGTGCATTTCTATATGCATTTTTAGCATTTCAGGTTGTATAAATTAGTATTAATTAATACATTTTAAACAAAAATTTATTAAACTACATATACATATA